TAAACCAGTTAACATAAAATTTCTATTTGATCTACAGAGGGTGATCACGGATACCTGAACGATAAGTATTTTTTGTTTATTCATTTTGTTTACATGTTTACATATATTTCTACTTTAAGCATTTGTTTAGGATATAAATGGATGTCAATCACAATAATAACAAATAATTTTCTTTTGAACAAAAATAGTTAAAATAAAAGAATTAAATGCTGAACAATATAGAGCAATTCTTTACAGCTACAAATGAGGTGATTCATATCAAAAAATTGCTGACATCGTTCAATGTAGTAAAACAACTGTCTATGATACGATAAAACGTTTTAAAGAAATTGGTTCTGCAATACTAAAAAAACGTTGTGACCCAAAGCCACTTTTTAATTCAAATGCACAATTTTCACTCAAAAAGATTGTTACACAAAATTCAAAGCATCTTTGCCTTACCACTCAAAAAATTCAAGAATTATGGACTAAAAAATTGAGAATTAATACAGTTACGAAAAGTTATTACTCAATAAACATTAAAATACTCAAGATAAAAATTTATATATAAGTAGTTTCACATATATAGAATATTTTTACTTAATACGCAGTAAGCGATTTACTTTGACTAAAGTAATCATATTATCCTGTAAAGTTAAAAAAAGGTCTGCATTATTAATAAAATTACGAAAACACATATTACAATACAAATATTAATCCAATTAAGATTAAATTTTTTATACAAATAGTATCATATCTGCTGAACAACTTTCACTTAGAAATGAAAAGTAATTGACTTTGATCAAAGTGCTCAAATATCCTTATGAAGTCAAAAAAGTGTGACTTATTTAGTAATGTTACAAAAAAATTATTTCTACACGAATATTAATCATGTTAATATAAAAAAATTAGATATAAATATTATCAAACCTGCTGAACAACTTTTACTTAGATATAAAAGGTAATGGACTTTGATCACTACTCAAATTTCATCATGAAATCTCTGTATTAATGTTTATAAAAAAAGATATTAAATAAATATAAAAATAAATTCTTACAAGTTCAAGTATTTAAGTTTAAAAATATAAGATTTTTTTTTTAAAGATTATGTTAAATAAAATAAGTGTTAAAAAAAAGAAAAAGAATATAACAATTTAAAAAGAAAAATTGATACTAAAAAAAAGATTAGAAATTGATCATCAATTATATTAATTGTGTAACTGTAATTGATTATCAAATTAAATAAATTAAATATTTAATAATATCATATAATTTCTATATACTTTAATTTTAAAAAATATGTAAAAATCAATTCAGTATTAAATATATAGAATTGTGATACAGAATTATTAAAAACGTATTAATAACATATTATTTTTATATCATTTCTATATCTAAATTTCTTATAGAGTGATAGTAAAAATAGTGCATCTATCACTATAGCTAAAGTCAGCCCTCTATCTAATTCTAGTAATCAGTTAAAATCCAAGTGAGAGTTAGTTGATATGGAAAATTGGGGTCAAAGCTGATTAACTATTAAGTCTATAATACTGATGAATGTAGTATAGATGTATGTAATAAGGTTATATAGTATTTATTCACATGAGACCTAAGGAGATAGGCAGGTCATTCATTATTATCTACCTCAACTCTACTTTCAGAATAAATGCATCTTAAAAAAAAACTTTCTTAATTTTTTTTTATATCATATTCACAAAATATTTTATAATCATGATTTTATATGTCAGGTATGTAATTCATTAATGTGCTATTTTTATTATCATCATTAATTTTTATGCTATTATTTCTCATTAATATAGAGATATATTAATATACTTTTACAGCATTAACATGATTTTTAAATGTGATAGTAATTAGAGTTCTATAAAAATGTTATAATAATCATTTTCTAAAACTTCACTTTAGCTTCTAAAATTTTTAATTTTGAATTCAGAAAAATAAGTTAAATATTTAACTAGTTCAAGTATTTTACCTTAGTCAATATGCAATCTTTATGAGTTATGATAATTAGATGTTTGAAAGTGATTTTTTATAATTTATATAGTAAATCAATATAATATATTATTTATTTCTAAATAATTTAGACTATTAGTTTAACTCTTTTATAACTTAGAAAAGAAAATTATATATTAAAGAGAATTTCATGATTGAGCTGTAACATTAAATTATCAAATTCATCTTTTAATAAAATTTAAATCATTGTAAATTTTTTTAGGCTAAATTAATATTTACTATATGTAATCATTAGCTTTAAGAGTTAAATAAGAGATATATAATAGTTTAAGACAATGTCGATAAATCCTTAATAAAGAATATTATAACACTAAAATTGTTATTAAATTTTAATAATTTTATAAATTAAATCTTTTAATCGAAATGTAAAATAGTTAAAACTAAAAGCTTAAACTAGAAGAAAAAGGTAGTATTATTACTTTATTAAATAATAATTTTAAAAATACTTAAATTGTAAAACAAATAAAAATATCTGATAATACAATTCATTTATTTATTAAGATATAAAAACAGAAATATTAAAATTTATTATGCTTTGAATAGCTTTCTATAGTTATATAAATGGTAAAATGATTACTTATATATAAGATAATTGAAAATAGACATACTTCTTTACAGAAATTAATAGCTAATGTTAGTTTAGATGTTTTAATAATAGCTAGCAAATATCTTTATAAGGTTAATATTAAATCTTATGTAGTAGTTAAAAACTATTTATTTTAGATAAAATTAAAAGAAATAACTTATTTATTATAAAGAACATATTAATTAAATATATCAGAATAGAATTATATTATCTTATCTGATAAGTCAATTGTAGAAATTGGTAAAAGTTTATGACATGAATTAGTATAAAAAAGTTAGTAAACAGTATTATTTAAATTGCTTAAAATCTACTTTAAAAGTAGATATAAATATATTATGCCTTAGAATTGTTTCATAAGTAATAAATTAGTAATTTGTGAAAAAAAATGCAAGAATTCTGATGATTATGTAAAAATTTTTAATGATCATCTTAAGGAATTTAAACTACTATAGAAATTGAATTTGGTATTACTCTTATCTTTTAGATAATAATACTAAAATTTATACTAGTAAAAAATCTTGTAAATGAAAAGAAATAAATAGGATTAAATTTATACCTTGACTAGCTCAATCATCAGATCTTAATCCAATAGAAAACATTTGAAAAATTCTAAAAGATAGAATTCAATAATATAAACCATTTTAAAAAATAGTAAAATAGTTAAAAATAGGCTTAGAAAAAGAGTTAAATTGGAATCTAATATTTTATCTAATTTGATTAATAATATATCCAAGTAGGTTAGAAAGGTAATTAAAGTAAAGATAAGCATACAAAATATTAAAACATATTTTTATGTTTTTATTAAATAAAGTAAATATATAAATTGATAATAAAGCCTTAAAAACTTGTTAAAGGTGTTTAATTAATTATTTTATTGAATTTGAACTTAATTTATTATAAAATTACAAAATTATAAATACTTTCTTGAGCTAATATACATCTAAGGCTAAACGTTATTCACAAAAAAAATGAAGTATTTAGATCTGCATGACAGATTTTTTTAAAAAAAAGAGGATCACTTACCTATAAGCAACTATAGCATCTTATTTACTACTATTATAGAAATGGTTTTTTTTACTAATCTGTGATTTTGAAAGATATATTAAATTTTTTTAAACATTCTATTGTAATTTTTGAATATTCTCTGCATTATCGTTTCTTTTCTATTTATTATTTCATTAAAGAAATTATATATTTACCTGATGAAAGTTGATTTTTTTATATAATGTTAAAAACTAATCTTTTTCTAATAATGCAATATGTTTACCAGCTCTTGATATGTATGAAGTAGCAATCTACCATTATAGCCTGATCTAATAATCACTGTATCATAGTATAGTTTTATTTTAGTAATAGATAACGATATGTGAAGGTAATCTAAATTTTCTCTAAATATGTTCTTTTTTTAAAAAATTTATTTACATTTATGATTTATGATTTAAATAATAATAATATATTATTATTATTATAAATAAAATAAATATTTATAATTATATAAATATATTTATTTTATTATGAGTGATTTATTTAAATATTTTTTATAAGCGAAGCATCTAGATAATTTTTTTTTCTTGAGAAATTAATTGTTTATATAGATACTGAATTGATATCTAAAATTACTCATTTCAACATTTTAGAAGAATCATTATAAATAATAGAATAATGTTATAAGCTAAAAAAAGTCAAATTATCAAATTATGTTAATTATCATATAATTTAATCTTAATTTATATTATATTATAATAATATTATGCTGATAAAAAAAAGTCTTTTAGATTAATAAAATAACTTAATCTTTACTTATTACAAACGATTTTACAAAATTAATTTGTATTGTAATTTTTATTTCTAATTTATAATGTTTTAATTAAATAAAACCTAGAAAAGTACTATACAAATTCCAAAATTAAATCCTATATGTAATTTTGCCTTCTTTACAATTTTATATAATAAGAAAATGGTGATTATGAATACTGTTTTTTCAGTGGAGTTATCTTTTTATAAAATATAATATAAAGTCAAAAAAGGTGTTTGGAACCTTCTTTTTATCTCTAAGCAAAATTGTAGAGCATGTAATAATTCTTATAGATTTTTAGGTATGATCGACAAAATTGATCACGTGCCAGTAATTTTTTGGTGGTTACGCTGGGGAAACTTTCTCGAAACTTTTTGCCTATATATATGATTCTTATAATATGAAACTTATGGAACAATAAAGATTCTTTTTGACGTGTAGACGCGAAGGTAAAAAAAGGTAAACCATTCCTTTATTTGATTTTTATTTTTTATTTTTTTATTTTATTTTTTAGTTGTCGGGTTGGATAAGAACGCTAAGGTCAGAAAGAAGGTAAGCCATTTACAGTATGTATTTTGCTTTGTTTCTTTTTTTTTTTTTTGGCAGATGGGTTGGAAGGTATGTCATTTCTTTAGTTGCTTTTTTTTTGTTTGTTTTATTTTTTTGGTAGGCGGGCTAGGTAAGAAGGTAAGCCATTCCTTTATTTGCTTTTTTTTTTTTTTATTTTGTTGTTTTTTTGACGTGAGGGTTGGAAGGTATGTCATTTCTTTATTTGCTATTTATTGTTTGTTCGTTTTATTTTTTGATGGGCGGGCTAGGTAAGAAGGTAAGCCATTCCTTTTATTTTGTTTGTTTTTTGGCGTTGGATAAGAACGAGGTATGTCATGCTTTTTATTGTTCGTTATATTTTTTTGGTTAAATCATTTTTTTTTTTGTTTTTTCGCGGGTATGTCCATCTCTTTTTATTTGCTTTTTTTTGTTTTGTTGTTTTTGGATATTATGGGGCAGCATGATGTTACGCGTGGGTGGGGGCGTGACATGCTTATCTTTGGTAAGCCCGTGGGTACCCAGTTTTCTGGAAGTCTCATGGTAGGGCTGGTTGGGTATTATCGGAACGGCATAGTACTGTGCGTGGGAAGGAGCATAGGCGATTACATTTCGTAAGCTTATGGGTACCAGCTTTCTGCTGCAGTCTCGTAGTAGGGCCGAAGTATTTTGTTTAAGAAAATCTTTTCAAACGAATACGCAAGAATATTTGTTTAACTGAACTAACAAAACTTACGAGCTCCTAAGGAGTACTTTATTATTTACCATACTTATAGTGAGGAAAAAATAAAAAATATTATATTACATTTTAAATAAAACTTTTAAACGCAAGGTGAACAGTAGAAAAAATCGATTTTTTTGATGAATTTATTTTTTTTTTTAATGATTTGCGAGACAGGTGCATTTTGACAAGTATAAATCGTAAAATAAATCGTAAATAGAAAATCAAATCTTTATAAATGAGTTGATGGTTCCGTTCAAATTTACTTTTGAAGTCTATAGATTTCCCCTTGATTATTTGATTACCAAAAATTTTTGGATCGATGTAAGGCAAGCCGAATATTTCTAATGTGATGATTGATGTTTCAGCGATTTTTTTTGATAAACTACAGTATATTTTCCAAATTCTTCAATTACATGGGAATTAATCTCTATTTATAGTAATTTACAAAAAAAAAAAAAGGAATAATTATTCGTAAAAGCTAATCTCGACGTTTGTGAAATTATTTTACAAATTGTATTGAACGCGTAAATTTCGCGTAACTTCATATATAACTTCCTTCCGAACCCGTGGAATGTGTAAAATCCTATTTATGTTAAATATTAACACCTTTAGAAATTGATCTTAGAAACATTCACTATCATAAGAAAAGAATAATATTATTATTTTGTTACGTAAATAAAATGTTTTCGTTTTTTTTTTTTTTCGTTATAGAATAAGTATTCTGTGAAAAGATCAAAATTTTTGATTACAAATCATTTTAAAGGAACAAAAATTAAGGAATTTCACAAATATAACGGATAAACGATTAATATAAAAGAATCGGAGAGGGCTTCTAATAAAGGTTACCGCCGATATTAATGAAGTACATTTATTGACACTTTAGTTCGAACCGGATTATCAATGGTAGCTTTTATTAAAAGTTTCCCGGTCCTAATTATAAACAACAAATATAAGCAAGTGTTTAAATCGTCTGCTCAGGTTCCATAAATTTTGTAAAGAAAAAAAGATGATATGATTAGGATATCTACAGTCACTGTTTGAACATTATGTGAAACGTAAGGGTGACAAATAATATTTTTAGTATAAAAAATGTTCAAAGTAATGTGATGAGTTTATATTTATTTCAAAAATTGTTTCGTTTTAAAAGAAAAAATTTTGTTAATTTAGAATTTATAGTAATTCAAAAGACCTGTTAAAATAAATTATCATCTGCAAAAATTTCTGTTCGAAACTTAATAATATTCTAAAAATTATAAAAAAAAAGGTTAGATAAAACTAACTCTATTTAAGCAAGCCACCAAATAAATAAATAAAAGAAAAAAGATGTTCTTGCTAAGCAAGATCACAAAATATTAGGATGCATTATTAGCATAGTTAACAAAACTATATATGATCCTATAATAAATTTTATTAAAGATTTTTTTATAATTTTGATATAGTTACTAAATTTAAATTTTCCTTACAATAAACTTCTAACTAAATTGATACATTTTTATACTTAAATAACATTAATCTTTTCCTAATTATTTTGCTTTAAATTTTACAAAATTAATGTTTCTTTTAGATAACACCTCATTTTTTTTCAATAAAATATCATTTACATTTTAAGAAATAATAAATAAATCTTTTGGGCATAGCTCTTTAAATAAAAAAAATTTTCTTTGATATCAAGGTATTATATTATTTTTTTTAGATTATTTTATATTTATTTACAGTTTTAATTTTTTTGAATGCTAACTAAAACTGAAGTTATTTATCTTTAAAGATTTCAGATTTTTTATTAAAAAAAAAATACCTTTATATTTAAAATGTGTCTGTCAATTAAAAAAATTTATAAAATATAAGCTAAAAATTAGAGATGAAAAAATAATAAAAGAAGAAAAATAAATAAAATTATAAATAAAATAAACAAAAAATTTTGATAATACTTTAGATCTAGTAACAAAATACTAAAATTAAATAAAAATAACTTTGATAAATTTTTTTTAGTTTAATATTTATTTGAAAAAGAAGTTTTAATAGCAAATCATCTTATTATAAATAAAGTATATGATTATATATCACAAAGTTTTATAAATACTAACTTTCAATTAATGTATTATATAAAACAAATAACAAGATAGAGACTAAAATTAAGCAACTTTAACAATAAAATACAGTCAATACTTGATATAACGAACTCTTAATATAACGAATTTTTTAAACAAATATAATAAAAATACTCTTATTATAGTAAATTAGCCAATCAAATCTCTTAAAATCTTTACTATAGCTTTATAGCAAAGTTGAAATCTAGGACATAGAGTTCGTTATAATAAGAGTTAACTGTAATACTAGCTGAATTAATCATAGATTTACTGTGTCATCTGACATTTTTTTATGTCATTTTGATACTTTGTAAAGTAAGCAAATAGGCATAAAATATAAGTACTTCAGTATAGAATCTAGCATTTAAATAAGTACAAAGAGTTTGCATTCTTGATAGAAATTTAAGCATTTAAATGCATTGTCACCGTGGAATTCTTCAACTCAGGGTGATCACGTTATCAAGTCTCTACTCGAAATTTCTAACTGCGGT